AGGTACAGGATCTTTCCTTCAGGCCCCAGGCGGACGTCTCCTGGGCTGCCTGTACAGTCAGAGGATGAGACTGTGCGCTTCCTCTTGTCCTTCTCAAGGCCAGGGATCTGACTTGCCTTCTGCTCTCAGGACCTTGTGCATGAGGTACACTCATACACACAAACCCACACAAACACCCACCCCAGATTTTTGACAAGGGGCATTGGTGACCAGCTCATTGCCATCTCTAGTGAACAAGAGAATGCATTGACTGTGGGGTGAATCAAAGCTAGGCATTAGAAAGTATTTAGCCAACTCCAAGAGTCCTGCAGCCTAGAGCTACGTGGCCACGCAAGGTGAGTAAACAAGGACATTGACAGAAAGATACAGACAAGGCCCTGCCAGCTAGAAGGGCTGAGGATGGACCCTGAACTTGTCTATCAGTCAATGCCAAGACGTCATTTTCTCACATCTGGTTCCACATCTGGAAACAGCCAGGATGCCTATTTCAAAGTGCTGATGAGGCCATGCCCTGATTGCCTCAGGGAGAAATCCATTTGGTGACACTGTCTTCCAGGCCCCATCATCTTCTCCAGATGGTGGTCCCATTTCCAGCTCCCTTCTCTAGGCACACCCACTGTTCAGGAGGCGAGAGAGAGCTGGAGGGCAGCTGGCTGGGGGGAGGCCTTGTCCAGACCCTTTGTCAGGCTCTAGAAGCTGCAATGCATTTATAGTTCTTGCTGGTCAGCAGCTGGCCTCCCCACCCGTCCTGGAGCTTGCATGGTCTGCTGGGATTGTGGCACTTGCTGTCCAGATGCCACAGGCTTTGCATCTGATGGCCACATGGCCCCTGGTCCAGGCCTAAGCCTGTGGCTGGTGAATCTGAGAAGAGAGGCCACTCCTCTCCCACTTCCATCACTAAGATCCAGCTATGGTCTGTCATGAAGGATGCTAGAGAGGCAGCAGACTGACTCAGCCCTTGAGGCGTTTAGCATTGTGAAGCTGGGAGAGAGACTTTAGGGGCTGAGGAAACCAGAGTCATACACTTCGTGAATGGAACTGTCTGGAAGTGCAGTGTCGGAGAAAGGAGAGGCTGCAATCGGAGTCAGGGAGGGCTTCCTTGGAGGGATGCTCCCTGGGCAAGACAGGAGCGGCCTGCAGCCTGCTCAGCTGCTTCAGTGCCCACAGTACACAGGGCGCCCATCCCGGGGTCGGACGGCACTGACTGCCAACAGAACTTCCCACACGTTGGAGAGAGAGAAGGTGTGAGCGGATGGAGTGGGGTACTGCTGAGAACTCCACATTTCTTTCTTCCTACTTTGATATTCCTTTGTCAGCTTCCAGAGCCAGCTCCCGTGAGTCCTGCTCTTCTCTCCCGGCCTCACGGTCAGCTTCCTCTTTGATGACTGCTCACCTTGGCAAGGTGGCTCCAGTGTTGTAGGCAAGAGACCGGGCTCTTTCTTTACAGAGCAAGGCTTGGGATGAAGACCCCGTTCCTGCTGTGTGTCCCTGGAAGATGGCCACATTCCCAGCCTCCACACAGTGGAGGGCACTCTTCTGGTTCCTTACAGTGCCCCCTACTCTCTCTGTGTCTCCCGCCCTTCTCACCTCCTCAGACATAGACAGTGTGGTGTGTGCTCTGCCCTCCCAGGACATCAGACAGGTAGCTCCTCATTTACCTCCTACCTTGCTGACAGGCATGTGGAAAGGCTCAGGGTTACCATCTCCTGAGAGTTAGCAACCCGAGGTTGTACACACATTACAGGTCAAAGTGGGTGCCATGGCTCCTCCTGACTCCCTACCACTCAGCCGAGTGTCTCCCTTCACATTACAAAGCCGCTCCAATGGAGGTCCTTCCAAACCTGACCTGCCTGAGCTTCTGTCTTTCCTCTCACAGTCTGTTCCTAATCTGCTTAACCTATGGTGGTTTGCACATCCAAACCCTGACCCTTCCTATCTGGACCTTGGCCCAGGCCGCTCTTCCTTTTTGTTACACCTGCCCCGCCCCCTCACCTTGCCATCTCTTCCTCAGCCTCCAGGTCTCCACTTGACTGTCACCTCCTCCAAGAACCCATCCTGGTCGCTGTACTTTGAGACCTAACACTTGCAGAAACCTTCCCACAGCTGCCTCTGGTTGTGTCTCCATCCTGATCATAAGCTCTCTGAGGGTTGATCAAGGATCAACACCCCTTGATCCTCATCTCCCCGCTGCTGCCTAACAGAGTGCCTGGCATCTTGTGGGGTGCCTGCCAGGGGCCATTTGAACCAAAGGGAGATGGGCTGGCAAGTGCGAGAAGCGTGATGGTGGAATGGCATTACCTGATGGGCAGCTCAGGGAGAGCTTGGATTCAGCCTGCAGGGCTAGTGAATAGAACAGCAACAACCCCAAGATCTCAGGTCCACAGTGTTCCAGGCTCAGCTCCAAGGACTTTCTAATTTTATCCCTACAAAAATCCTAGGTGGCAGGCATTATTCCTGTCCAATTTTACAGGTGAGCGAAACGTAAGAGGGAACTCACGATGAGTTGGTAGAGACAAAAGGCATTCTGGATTTTTTTTTAAAAGTTCATGAGCAATGATGTGGAAGGACTTGGCAACGTATCTGTGGGGAGAGTAGCTGGGCGTGGGGATGGCTTGGGTTAGAGGACCATGGGAGGGGGAAGTGGTGATGATGTCCAGCTTGCTAAGCCACAGAGGACCTTTACACTGGGGCCAGAAGTGCAACCCAATGGAGACGTGGAAAAGCCATGGCCAGTTCCTAAGCAGGAGGCTGGTCGGGTGGAATCTGGCCATGGCGTGATAGATAAATTAGGAGAGAGAGAGAGAGAGAGAGAGCAGGCAGAAGGGCCAGGAGGGTGTGGGCATCACCTCCCTCCTCACTGGTCCTGCAGCCCTTTGAATTCTTGCCTTTTGTTGATGCCTTCGATAGATACTTGACCTGGGTGACCTTGAGACCCCGGAGCTGGACAGCAACCGCAGGTCTGGGGGGGGGGGGCCTCCTCAGCCTGTTCCTCTCTGGCTTGGCTGAGGCTAGCTGCTCATGGCTGTGTCCATGACCTGGGCTGGGCTGGATTTCCCCTCTGCGGTCACTTTAATGAAAAGCAGTTGTGTTTGCCACGAACATGCAGGAGGCGAGGGGAGGAGATCAGTCAGCCTAGCCCCTGGCCCGGCTCTAGGTCTCTCGTCCCTCTCTGGGTCTCTTCCTTCCCCAGCTCCCAAGTCCTCCATCTTCCCTCCCGATTCTCCTTACTGCCCTCCATCCTGACTGGTTCTTCCTGGCTCTGTGGGTTTTAGAGCAGAGAGAAGCTGCCTGGGTGGGGATGGAGCTACAGGTGCCTCGAGGCCTCTGGTTCGGCTCCTCTGACAGCTTCTCATTCACTCCCTTCTTCTCCGAGCTAGTGAATGAAAGACAGGGACCACAGGTGCTTTGAGGTGCTCATGGCTCCTGTGTGATCTCTCTCCCTGTCTTTCTGTCTCTGTGTGTGTGTGTGTGTGTGTGTGTGTGTGTGTGTGTGTGTCCCTCTCCCTCTTATTTATTGTTTCCCCATCTCAGTCTGTGTCTCGGGAACCAGGGACCTTCCAGAGCCAAACAGAACTTCGCTGTCTTCTCTTTTTCTCACTCTCTAGCCAAACCCTTGTCCATCTTTTGAGTGTGAACATCCTCCAGGGGGCCTGCTGTGACCACCCTACCTCATCAGGGTTCCTGAAAAGGTTGGCTGGATTCCACCACCCCCCCTCAACACACACACACACACACACACACACACACACACACACACACACACATCCACACACATCCACTGTCCTCAGGCCATAGTAAGACATTCACCTTCAAGGTCTTTGCTTTGGGCCTCTGGGCTTTTCTGGCTGGTTGTCTCCGGATGGGGGTGGAAATGGGATAGAAGAGGAGAGGGTGAACAGTCTAGAGCGTTCCCTGCTGGAAGCAGGCAGAGTACCTGGTTGGCTTGCAGCCTTGAGTAGCTCTCATACGGAGCAGGGGCTGCACTCCCAGTTCAACCCTGACTCCTCGGGAGCATTGCAGGCTGCTGGCACTCACAGTCAAATGCTAGACCAGACTCCCCCGCCCATTCCAGAAAGCAAGTCAATCCGAGGCCCCCACTGAAAAGCTCACGGGGGTTGTTTTCATCTCTCCATAGTGAGGCTTTTTAATGGCAATGTTGTTGATGGTGCACATATTCCAGGGTAATATGTTTGGGATTAGGCCACACAATGGGGTTATGACTCCCTCCTGTGCAGCCCCCACCCAGGGGAGTTTGCCCTCCATCTGGCCGATACACATCTGGATCAGGCTCACAGCTGTCCAGATGTTGCATCCCTCGGAACCTAGGCTTGCGCAGCCTCTTCTGCTAGAGGCTGGAGCTGCACACACACACACACACACACACACACACACACACACACACACACACACACACACCACTCCATTTGGAGCACTGACGCTCTGAGGTCATCTGGCCCTTGGAGGGGGAAGGGAGGGGAGAGAGCTTGGCCTTGATGCATTATTCCTCCTCCACCATGGTGGGGCAAGCAGGCTGTTGGGACACATCTGCAGAGGTATGCAAATATCAGGTTCCCGCTTCCAGCCCAGACAGGCTAGTGGGAAGGACCCGCTTGAAACCAGGCTCCAAATCTGGAGCCTGTCCCTACCCCATCCAGGGGCCAGCTGCAGGAATCAGAAAATTCCTCGTGTACTCATTTGGGGGGACGCCCTGAGGCCCTGGGCCACACGAGCTCTCCCAGCTCACACTGAGCCCCATTCCGTAACCCTCCCTCTGTCCAGCCACCATCTGCCCGCCATGGCCTCACATCCCGCTCCCCCTTGGCTCTCTCTCCTGCCACAGGTCATGTAGTTTAGAAGAACATACACTGCAGAGCCCGGGCGCTGGACCCTCGAATAACTGAGACATGATCTGCCAAGTTTGTTTGCCCATTGGTGCTGGCAGAGAGTGCGGGGGAGGGAAAGGAAGCCACATTTATTGGGTGCCAACTATGTGTCAGGCCCTGAGCAAGGTGCTTTAAATATATCATCTTGGTTAATCCTTGCAACCACCCTGCGAGGTAGATATTATTCTCTTCGTTTTACACACGCCGCCGCCGCGAGGGTGGCTCGGCAAGGTCACCCTAGTGTCACGTGGTGAGGTGGGGTAGAACCAGCATCCCAAACCCAGGCTGCTTCACTCCAACTCCCGTGCCCCCATCCCATGCCACTTCCCCTGGTGACTGCTGAACGCCATCCTTTAGGTCCTCCTTCCTGGCTACTGGCTGTGAGCGTTGCGGGGAAGAACTGCCGGGCAAAGGCCAGGCGGGGAGGCAGCGGAGAGCGGGAGGACTGGAGCTGCAGTGTCGTAACCAACCGAGTTCTCTGCATGGCTGTTGGAGGGCCTGAGGACTGAAGCCACAGAAACGCATTAGGAGTTGAGAAAGCAGGGCGGCGGCGGTGAAAGGCAGGCAGATGGGCCTTGGAGGCATCTGTGGGGAACTTGGGACTCTTCCATGGCTCTGGGACACAAGGAACCTCATTAGGAAGGGAAGAAGGGAGCCCCAGAGTGCCAGCTGCTATTGTTGCCTTATCATGCCATCGGCCCAGCAAGGGGCTCCCAGCAGATGGAACGTTCCAAGGGCCCTCGAGGGGCCCCTCTTCTGACCACAGAATGTGGTACCCCCAGAGAGGCAGCAGGGGGGTAGACGGGCACCCTCCAGCCTGGCTATGACTGTGGTCCCCATGGTAGCTCCAGAATGTGGCTGCCTTGGACTTGGAGAGGACAGTGAAGAGCCTTATCCTCAGGTCCAATTACAGAGCCCAGATCCACACAGCCCCACAGCCCCACAAAGATCCATGCCGACCCCCTCCCCGCATCCATGCCAACAGTGGTGTATGTCTGTCTGCCTCGAACAAAACTGTTCTCTTATAGATGACATGCAAACACAAGGCTTGCCCAGCGTCACAAAACTAGCAGAATTCTGTCTTCTGGTTCTGTGCCCGGAGCTTAGCACACAATAGGAAGGTGGCAGGGGAAACAGCATAGACCTGGGAGACCGCTAGGCTAGACTGAAAGCCGGCTCTGCCCCTGCAGTGTGGCATCATCTTGGAGCCATGCTCTCCTCTTCAGGAACTCCCAGGCTGGCCAGGAAGCCCAGAGACAGTGGAGCAGGTACTCCAAGATGAAAGGTGATATGGAGGCAGTGGGCAGGATGCTGGCTGGCGTGGTGGCTGGGAAAAGGGCCGAGGAAGTAGGTTGGAATAGTGACAGTGATAATCAAAGCGATATCACAATGATTTGTGAAGGAGACTTCTGTTCTGAAGACGAGAGTATTCCGTTCATGTTAGGTGTCTCTGGAAGCCCAGCCCTGAACTTCTTTCCCACTACAAAGGAGGGCTGACATCAGAACCCCTGAAGTGGGGTACGACCATGTGTCAGATGCAATGAGATAATGTGGACCGTGGCCAGTTCTGGCACACGGAGAGGATTTGCCCCAGGAAGGAGGCAACTGTGGGTACAGGTATCTGCAGGAGGGAACGATCACCTGGGGGTGGTTCCCTGAGAAAAATTGGGCCACAATAGCCAGGCGGTGGTGGTGCACACCTTTATCCTAGCACTCGGCAAGCAGAAGCAGGTGATCTCTGTGGGGTCGAAGCCAGCCTGGTCTACAGAGCGAGTTCTAGGAGAGGCTCCAAAGCTACACAGAGAAACCTTGTCTCAGAAAAAAAAAAAAAAGGGCCACAAGGCCTGTCTCCCCCCCACCATTTTTTTCTTCTGTGTGTGCAAGTGCGGGTGTGAGTGTGTGTGTGTGTACACGTGCATGTGTGAGTGTGTATGAGGTTGGTGTCAAGAATTACACTCTATTATTCTTCTACCTTCTTTTATTCATTGAGGCAGGGTCTCTCAATCAAACCCAGAACTCACAGACAGACCCCACGGATCTTCCTGGTCAGCTTTTTCTGGGGTTTGTCTGTCCCCCTCTTCTGAAGCCGGAATTACAGACATGAAGTCACACCCACCTGGAATTTCATATGGCTTCCAAGGACCCGAAGCCCATTCCTCGTGATTTAACCACTGAGCTATCTCCCTAGTTCCTGAGGGGGATGGGAAGATGCTCCTTAGATACCCAGCACCAGGGGAGTTTCTGCTTTGTGAGCCGCCAGGGCCGGCATGCAGCTTCCGGGCAGAGTGCTTGCCTCAACTTTGCAAGACTGTGGATTCTGTCCCCAGCACCGTCCTCAGGCCCACACAAAGCAGAGGGCATATCATACCCCTGGGCGTGAGTGTCCAGCATCACGTGCCAGCTCCCCGAGATGGGCAAATCCTCTAGCACTCACTGGGGTAGGTATAGATGGTCCTGAAAGGGGAGAAGCCAGCTTTGGCCCTCTGTGTCCCCTGACGTTGGGAGTTTGGTCTCTGGTGTATGGCTCACTCCAGCTGACCTTTCAGGAGATGTATTACAAGTGTCGAAATCAAGCCTGGCTCAAAGGCAAGTCTACCCAAGGGAGCCCAAAATTCTGTTTCTACTAATCTACTAATGACCCTTTGAAGTAGTTCTTTTAATCAGATTCCCTGAGGAAGAGGCTGGAACACCACTCTCTCAACCAATTTTCCCTTGTCTCCTCCTTACAAACACTTTGGTCCCAGCAGCTTTTTCCTACTTAGACAGAGGCAGGAGCCACAGGAGTGTGGCAATCCTTGCTGCGCATGGGGTGACCTCATTCCTTGGGCAGCCCCTAGTGCAGGCCTCAGGGGTGCTTGTAACTTCCTGAATCTTGTGCTCCCAAACCGAGGTGAGCAGAGCCGGTGTGCCGGACACTGGTATCTGTGAACACTTGGCTGTGGCCAGATACCCAGCAGGGCCTGATTTAGCAGCCACCATATGTATAAACCTGCAGATGTGACTCTGTGTGTGTGTGTGTGTGTGTGTGTGTGTGTGTGTGTGTGTGTGTGTGTGTGGTGTGGTACTGGGATTAAGCCCAAGGCCTCAAGGACGCCAGACAAGTGCTCTACCAATGAGCTGCATCCCTAACCCTCTTTTTGCTTTTTACTTTAAGATAGGGTCTTACTAAATTTCCCGGGCTAGCCTTGAACTTGTGATCCTTCTGTCTCAGCCTCCATTATAGGCCTGAGCCATCAGGCTCAGCCAGGTGTGATTTTTGGAGGAGACATGGGCTCCACTTTGAATAGCAGCCAAATGGGACCATACCTTAGCCTAAGATGTCATTTTTAAGCCAGCTGTAAGCCCTGTTCCTGAAAGAGAAGCAGAGAAGGAAAAAAAAATGATGAGTCAGGTAAGAAGGACCAGAATGTGGGTGTTGGGGTTTTTTTTAAAATATTTATTTAGTGTAAATGAATGTGTCTGTGTGTACGAACATGTGCATGAACGTTCTCCAGTGTGTGTACACGTGTAGAGGTCAGGGGACAACTTTCAGAGTCCATTATCTCCCTCTGCAATGGTGGCTTCTGAAACTTGAGCATGGCAGCAGCCTCCACCCCCACCCCCACCCCGCTGATTCACTTCACCTGCCCCGGGATGTTTTGAATGAATGTCTTCAGGTAGCAGATGTTCTAATGATTTTTATTTCTTACTTGTACTTACGCGTGAATTGATTTTGAAATAGGGAAAAATATACTCATTTAAATTCCCTTCACAGGGAGATCACACACATTACAGCAGCCTTCCTCTGTGCGTCAGGAAAATAAGCCCTGTGTCTTCTCCAGCAGTTTGCTAGAAGGAAGAAGGCCTCTGAGCCCTTCACTAAAATAGTGAGATCAAGACCACTACCAGCAGAACCCACTCAGTGTCTGTGGGATTGACTGACTGAATGTGAAGGGTTGATGGAGAGATGGAGATACAGAAAATTGGAGGGAAGATGGGGTGCCCTTGGGGATCCTTTAATATGTGGCTTCCCCTTTCCTTTAAGTGGAAGAGAAGAAAGAAGGATTTTTCTGCAGTGATCCATGTCTTGTTAGTTACACCCTCAACCAAAATGTCTACATTATGGATCTCTGGACAGGGATTGGAATGATCCAGGCTTCACAGAGGACCTCCCGACCCAGTTAATGAGGGATGGGTGCCTGTGGTGACTGGACCTTCTTGTGCTGGGGAAATCTTGACACCAGTCCCTACCCTGTCCCCAGTGTCCAATCTGAAATCAAGTCACATGACCTGCCCTACCTAAACATCTCTCAGATCACCAGTTCTCACCGACCTCACTCTCACCACCTTGCCCTCAAGACTGTTAACTGGTCTCTCTAACGCCATCACCCTTCCACGCTCCACCCTCCATCAGAAGAAATCTCTAACGTGAAAATACAACCTTGTGATTGTGCATATATGTGCTTGAAACTATTTATTAGCTTCTCATAGCACTTGGAATAGATGCCTTCTCCAACTGCAGCTGTTTTGGTATGGTCCGTAGATATATACATATTTCCATTATGTGGAGAGAGGAGGGTTTCCCTGAGATATATGATTCACACATTTATAAGGTTTTTAGTGTATTCACACACTGGGCAACCTGAACATCTAAAGCAACCACCATAACCAATTTGAGAACATTTCTATCTACCTAAAAAGAAATCCCAGGCTGGAGAGATGGCTCAGCAGTTAAGAGCATTGGCTGTTCTTCCAGAGGTCCTGAGTTCAATTCCCAGCACCCACATGGTGGCTCCCAACCATCTGTAATGAGATCTGGTGCCCTCTTCTGTCCTGCAGGCAGACATGCAGACAGAACACTGTATACATAATTAATAAATAAATAAGTCTGAAAGAAAGAAAGAAAGAAAGAAAGAAAGAAAGAAAGAAAGAAAGAAAGAAAGAAAGAAAGAAAGAAAGAAAGAAAGAGAAATCCCATTGGGCATAGAGACACTGCCTGTAATTCCAGCACTCGGGCAGAAGCCAGTCTGGGCCACCTAGCAAGATCCTGTCAGAGGAAGAGGGAGAGGAAGAGGGAGAGGGAGCATGACAAAGGGACTTTCTACCCCTGTAGGTTTACCTATGCTGGGCACCATGTATTCACGGAGTTAGAGACAGTGCGGTCTTTGTGTCTGGCTTCTTTCCCTTAGCATGGTTTTCAGGCCTGTCCATCCTGCAGCATACGCCACCACTGCCTTCCTGTCTGTTGACAGATCATGCTCCATGGACTAGATAGGCCGGGTTTTGTTTGCTGAGGCATCAGTTTGAAGTTCCTTCTTCTTAGCTATTATGGATAATGGCCCCATGAGTATTCGTGTGCAAGCTTTTGTAAGGACATAGGTTTTAGTTCCTCTGAAGTATGGATGCACTTGGCTGTGGTGTTGCTAGGTCAGATGACTCTGTTCAATATCTTAGGGGACTGCCAGGCTGTTTCCTAAAGCAACCAGGCCAGCTTACATTTCCATCAGTAATGTGTGACGGTTCCCATTGCTCCTATCTCTTCAGCCCCTGGTAACTATTTTTCTTTTCTATTTTAGCCAGACTAATGGCTGTCAGTGACTTCTCATTGCAACTCAGACACATATTTCCCCAATGACCCCTGAAGTCGTGTGTTCCAGGTGCTTGCTGGCCATTTGCATAACTACTTTGAAGAAATGGCTATCAAATGCTATATCCATTTTCTTCCCCCCAAATATTTACCATACTAAAGTATACATGCCATAAAACTGACCACTTTAATCATTAAGAATATAGCTGAGTGGTATTGAGGACATGAGTGTCGTTGTGTAAACCACTACACATCTCCTGCACTCTTTCTAATCTTTAAAAACTCAACTCCATGCACATTAAACCATTGTTCTCCATTTCTTCCTCCTCACCGAACTCTGGGTAACCACCATTCCATTTCCAGTCTCTACATACTTGACTACTTTAGATAAATAATATCAATGTAATCATAGAGCATTTTAAAGCAGATTGTGTCACTTAGTACAACATTCTCAAAATTCATCCATATTTTAGAAAGTTGCAAAATTTTGTGCTTTTAAAGGCTGAATAGTATTCCATTGAATGTATATGCCATATTTTGTTGGTCCGTGGATATTTGTGTTGTCTTCAACCTTTGTTGTGAAGAACGCTGCTATGAACATAGGTGTCCAAGTGCCTCTTCAGGACCTTGTATTGAGATCTTATCAATGTGCACCCAGAGGGGAATGGTCAGGTTGGCCATTCTCTGGCTTTTTAAAATAGTTGCCATCTTGGTGGGTGTGGGCAGCCTCTTGTTTCAGTTGTCACTCACAAGTCCCTCATCAGTGATGCTGAACTTTTTCCATGTATGTATTGGCCGTTTCTTCTTTGGAGAAAGGCCTTTTCAAGTCCTTTGAAGAAGAAATTAAACCTATTATTCAAATTTGTGTGTTCGTGCATTCGTGCATACCTCTGTGTGTATGTGTGTGTGTGTGTACATGTGAGTGCAGGTGCCTGTGGAGGCCAGAAGGGGGTGTTGCATCCCCTGGAGCTGGAGTTATAGGTGGTTGTGAACCACCCAGTCTGAGAGGTGAGAGCCAAGCTTGGGTCTGACGGAAGGGCCACAACTGCTCTTAACCACTGAGCCATCTCTCCAGCCCTTACGTCCACCTTGTAGCCAGCCTGGCTGCTGTTGTAGAGTTGCGCACAGTCTTTGTGTATCATGGATACAAGTTCCTTTTCTTCCACTTTCTCGTGCCTTGGTGTGATGCTGAGGGTCAAACTGAGGAGCTCATGCCAGACAAGTATTCTAACATTGTACTATTCCCCTGATCACCTTTTTCATTTTTTTTTCTGGACATTTCTCTGTGCAGTTCAAGCTAACACCTAAGTTTCTACCCTCCGGTCTCAGCCTCCTGAGTGCTAGGATTACAGATACGTTTCGCCATGCCCAACTTTGTGGTGTCCTCTGAAGGACACTGAACCCATCTACTAACGTTGTAATGAGCATTCTTCAAAATTTTCCACGCAGGTGATTGTGTCATGTGTGAGTAGAGGTAGCTTTACCTCTTCTTTTCCGATGTACATATCTTTTATTTCACTTTGTTGCCTATACAGGTTAAAGACTGAAACAATTAAAAAAAATTGCAATGTGAAAAAATATTGTAAAATTTAAAATCCTGGGTCTATATATCAAATTTTGCTGGTGTAGCCGTTTATTCACGTGCTTTGCTGAGCCCGGTCTTGGGCTACAGCGGCGCAGTGGGTAGTGACTATAAAAACACCCACAGTACTGCACACAGCAAATCACATCGTACCTGGCAACACTGAAGTCAATGACGCGCATGTGCATCGCCGTGCTGCGGCATTTCACTAGTCAATGTCAAAGCCGTGGAAGCGGAAAAGACTAGACTTTGTGTGTTACACTTTTGAAGTGCAATGAGTGGTAGATCATTTTGTTATTGAATTCGGTGACAATTACGTTTATTACATGATGACATAACTATGCTAACAGAACTCAATATATACCAATGTTTACCAAATTAAACATTCATCACAATATTCCCAGTCCACAGAAAAGCAATCATTGGAAAAGCTAGAAGTTTAAAAATTTAATATCTCATTGAAGCATAATTTCCTCACAAAAAGTTTAAAAAAAAAAAAAGAAAGAAAGAAAAAAGAAAAAAAATGGAAAGAAAATCAGGCTGCCAAAGTAACTTTCCAATAGGCTCCTTTGTTAGGCAAGCAAAGAAAGCTGTTTGTAAGTGGTTAAGTTAATTAAATCATGTTTGACTGCAGCGGCTGAAGAATGCGTCCCGAGAAAATCAGCTCACTTAAGATTATTAGCCTTTCAGCAAGAACGGTTGTTCAAAGAGCCGAGGACACTGCGAGCCACATAAATAGTAAACTTAAAGACAAGACAAATGGTTTCAAGAGGTTTTCCTTGGCTTTGGGTGAGGCGGCAGCTGTTAATGATATTGGTCAGTTCTTAGCGTTTGAGAAAGTGACGGCGAATCTGAAGGGAAGGGAGAGCTGGGCCCCCCAGGGCATCTGATGGAGCAAGCCCAGGTGAGATGAGCCAAGAGGACGCTGTTCAGTACCCCCAGGGTGGAACCTGCTAGGACGTGTCACAGCCAGTGACGGCCGACAAATCGGTAGAACAGACAAAAATGGCTAGTTGGGAAAATCCATAAAATGTGGAAAAGATGGAAGAGATTCCAAACTCATGCTCTTCCTTGTGTTGCTCATCGGCAGAGAGCACTGGGGAAAGTGTTTCAGTCTGTCACATGGCGCTGAAATTGTCTTGAGGGAGAACTCCATTGGCTCCTGGGAGTGTGACCGTCGATTGTACTGTGGCTTCTATTTGGAAATAAGATCTAAAGCACTAGCATGTCTGTCTGCATAGCATTTCAGTGGCTTAACAGTAGTAAAACTTTATTGTATTTTGTTTTTTTTTTTTTTAGCTCAGAGATGAGATGAAATTTTTCCTGGATGAGAAAAACTATCCTTAATCGCTACTTTCAAATACCGAACAGCTTTAGAAATTTGTTCTTTACTGTAGACTTGACATTTCTTTATTTTTTTAAATTTATTTTTAATGGTGTGTGTCACTCTGTGTGTATGTATGTGTGTGTGTGTCTCTCTGTATCTGTGTGTATGTATGTGTATCTCTGTGTGTATGTGTGTTTCTGTCTGTCTCTGTCTCTGTGTGTGTGTGTGTGTGTGTGTGTGTGTGTGTGTGTGTGTGTGTGTGTGTGTGTATACACACATGGGTGCTTGCCTGAATAGGCCAGAGATGTGGGATCCCTATAGACCTGAAGTCACAGGCAGTTGAGGGGCACATAATACAGATGCTGGGAATTGGATTCTGGTCCTCTGGAAGAACAGGAAGTGCTCTTAACCTCTGGGCTGTCATCTCTCCAGCCCTGACTTGTTATTTCTTAATGAAACAGAAGAATGCTTGTTTGTGACATTCACAGTTTGACTGTAACTAGTGTATGAGTCATGAGTAATATCAAGCTAGATGCTTTTTGTCTTCATCACGCCGACACCGGCTGGAGGGGCAGCTGAGAGCCCCACTCACACACAGGTTCCTAGGGCTCAAGCTTTATTTCCAGCCGTGTTTGCCTCAGGTGGTGTTGTAAGTGGGAGAGAAACTTCCATTCTTCTAAATTTGTGTGACTGCATTTCAAGGACCTCCCCTAACTGATTTATCTGCAGCATAAGGATGCAGATTTGAAGAGAAAAAATTTCAAATCAAAGTGTATAAACACTTCCACGTGATGAATGGGTTAATTAAATCACGTGCTCAAAGGCTGATAGCAATAGTTAGCAGCGCCCAGTTTTGTGAAAACAGTATTTCCAAAGACAAAATACTGAGCATGTTAGTACAGATCATAATTAACAGACATGCATTTATTATTGATTTTTGATAATAAAACCACTAACATTAGCTAAAATGCTATTCTCCTCCAAAAAGAATTCCATGGTTCTCATTCATTTATATTGTAAAAACTTAAGCTTATTATATTTTGAATTTTGTAAATGAAAGTGTTAGAAATTTACTTTTTGCCTAATGTAAATACCTACCAATGAAACAATCACACACACACACACACACACACACACACACACACACACACACACAAATGCAACACTTGATTTTACCTCTTAACTCAAAATGCAGTATCTTTGCACTGGCCATTCACAAACACGCCAGTGCTTACAGAATGGAAACCAACCCCATGCACTCTCCCAGGCCCATCTCTGCAGCTTTGCATTCCAGCCGCACAGAAGCCCTGCAGTGCCCGCATCAGACCTCTTGCTCTCTGTGTGATCTCTGCACACACTCTTCCTCGGTCTCTCCTCCTGTCCCACCTCACTTCCACGGGCTGCCTCCTTATTGTTCTTTATATCTTGGCTGAGACAACTTCCAAGAAGTGTTTGCTGACGCTCCCCACTGCTGTGGGAGAGAATACCCTCCTGCGAACTTCCTCTCAGATCTGTGGGTATTTATTCCAGTGAGTGCCACAAAACCGTAGACATTACCAAGTTCTAAATATACTATCTTTTTCGTTTTGACAGTTTAATCTATAAATTAGGCAAGAGATTAAGAAGCAATAACAAACTCTATATGACACACCAAGGCTCCCAACGCCACCAGGACAAGTGAAGAGGTACTGGAGAGAAGGAGAAATGAAGAGCTGTTTTGGTTTTGGTTTTGTTTTGGTCTTGTTTTTGTTTGTTTGCTTGCTTTGTTTTGATTTTTTATATATATTTTATATTTTAACAATGTATTACCAACAGCATACTGTAATAAAAGTTATGTGAATGTGGTCTGTCTAAATTTCTCATTTTTCTGTATGTATACTTCCTCTTGTGATAATGCAGTGCCTATATGGTGAAGTGCAGTGCAGTGAGCAGAGGCAGGGGAATGCTGCATGAGGACAGTACAAGGGGTAGGAACCCAAGCGTGCAGTCCCATGACAGCTGGTCTGATAACTAAACCGGCTATTTGAGAACTCATGGGTGAGTAGTGTATACCGTGTGGATACTCTGACAAGGGTGTGACTCAAGCCCTGATTGATGGCGTAGGGTGCTACAAGAGTTTTAGCATACTACTTGGGACAGGGCATAATTTAAAAATCTGTAAATTGTTTCTGGAATTTTTCATTTGATGTTTTTGGACAACAGTTGACCATGAGAAATAGAATCATGGAAATTATAAGCACAGATAAGAACTACTGCAGTCCATTCTGAGTTCTATATGTAGAGCTGTTTTCTTTTTTACTTAACCAAAAACTTTGGGCTTTACTTTATATGTACCTTACAGAGCAGCCCCATCCTATTTCTTATGGATATAGAATTAACACAATACATTTCATCAATTTAAAAAGTATAATTCAGTGAGTTTTTTCAAATGTCCACAATCAAGTCATAAAGTGTTTCCATTACCTACCCTGAATGCTCATGTTCTAAGCAATCACTAATGTTTTCACTCTGTTTCTAGAATTTCATCTAAATAAGATCACACAGCAGATATTCAAATGTATTTCATTTCTTTCAGTAAACACATTTCTGGCTGGTTGTGGTGGCACATGCTGGTAGGATTTGCTTAAGGAGGCAGAGGCAGAAGGATCACAAGTTCAAGACCAGCATGGGCTACACATTCAAAAAAAGAAAAAGAAAAAGAAAAGAAAAGAAAAAACCCACATTTCTGATATTCGTCTTCATTATTGCACGGATTGTTAGTTCCTTTCTCTTTATTGCTAAATAGTATTCCATTGTATGTCTATTTGTCTATCCATCCATCTATCCATCCATCCATCCATCCATCCATCCATCCATCCATCCATCTATCCATCTATCTCCATTCACCTGTTGATAGGCATTTTAATTATTTCCACTCGGGTACAGTGCTTGCCCACTCTCTGCCCTGGGGGGAAACGTTTTTATGAACGTTCGTGGACAGCACTTTGTGTGGACTGATTATTTCTCTTAGACAATGACTAAGAATGGAGCAGCAGCACAATGTGGCGCTCTGGGCTTCGCAGCTTAACTAGCTACCAAACCCACCACCCTGCCCCCCTGGCAGCAGCTAACGGTGTTCCGAGCACTGGCATCCCTCCTAACCCTGTCTGCGATGGGTCTCATTTCACTGCTCCTGGTGGGTGTGCAGTGGTGAATCATTGTGGTTTTCATTTGCATTTCCCTGATGACTAATGATGCTGAGCTCTCCGTGTGTTTATTGGCCATTGGTATTTCTTTTTTTTTTTTTTTTTTTGGTAAAATGTGTGTTTATATCTTTTGCCCACTTTTGATTGCCTTGTTTGTCTTTATATTGCTTAGTTGTGAGTTCTCTATATATTCTAGACATAATTCCTTTGTCAGATCTGTCTTGAGCATTTCTTTCAAATCTGCGGTTTTCATTTTCATAGTGCTGTCATTTGAAGCACAGAAGTTTTTCATTGTGGAGCCTAATTTATTTATTTCTTTTATATTGCATACATTTGGAGTCCTATTGAAGAAATGCCAAACCCAAGATCATTAGGAATTCTCCTGCTCAGTCCCCAAAAGTTTTATGGTTTCAGCTCTTGCATCTCAGTCCATGATCCATTTATGAGTATGTGCATTTTCAGAAGACGGGAAGAGAGCACACGTGTGTACAGAGGCTAGAGCACAACTCTGAGATCCTTCCTCTGCACACCATCCACCTTGTTTCCTTTTGTTTCTGAGACAGGGTCTCTGGCCGGTCTGAGACTCACTGATTCAGCTAAGCTGGCTGGCCAGTGAACCCCAGGGAACCCCAGTGCCGCCGGTGCGTGTGTGCACCACCGCACACCGCCACCGCACACCGCCACCGCACACTGCCACCGCACACCGCTGCTTCCGAGGGATCAAACTCAGGTCCTCATAACTGCACAGTAAGCACTCTACATGCTGAGCCATCCCCAGCCCTGCAGTCTGTTCTGAGTCTCTCTCTCTCTCTCTCTCTCTCTCTCTCTCTCTCTCTCTCTCTCTCTCTCTCTCCTCCCTCCCTCCCTCCCTCCCTCCTTCCCTTCCTCCCTTCCTTTTTAGATAAGGTGACACAATTGTTCTGGAACCATTTGTTAAAAAAAAAAAAAAAGCCTTGACTTGCTTCAGAGTCTTCATGGGACTCGATTGACGGTTTCTGGATGCTCCTTTATCTCCTGCTCATCTACATCTTTGTTCATCACAGCTTTGCAGTGGATCTTGAAATCAGATAATGCAGACTCCAACATTTTTCTTCTTTCCAAAATTTCTTTGGCCATTTTGGACCCATTGCGTTTCCATATGCATTTTAGAATCAGCTTGTCATGATTTACTAAATCAGCCTGCTGAGATTTTGATTGTATTTCATTGAATTGACAGACCGATTTAGAAGAATTCCACTTTAATAATATGGACGAATGAATACACAATAACTCTCCATTCATTTAGATCATTCTTCTCATAGTTACCAGGGTGTAGTTTACACATTTTTCTGTTAAATTTTTCCCCAGGTTTTTCCTAATTTTGATGCTACTACAGATCAGATTGTTTAACTTTTGGTCACAATGTAGACTGTTCCATTATCCAAAAATTGTCTTGTGCCCTTGGTAGGGAGAAACATTTAATATCTATATAATGCAATGTATGCTATAATCTTGCTAAATTCACTTGTGGGTTCTGGTAGCTGCCTGGTTGATTCCCTGTGATTGTCTACCACACAGCCACATCATTTGTGAATAAAGACAGTTCTCCTTCTTCTTCTCGGGTCTGAATACCTCTCCTCTCCCTTGCTTTTTTGCACAGGGAGATACCTCCAGTACCATCCAGAAGAGGACTGATCTTAACCTGGCGATCACTTTCCAGGAGGCACACTGTAGCTGTGGGTCATACGTTCTAGTCAGATTAAAGAGATCACTTTTTGTTCCTAAGAGGTGATTTTTGTCTCAAATAGACTTTAGTTTCTCAAATTCATCCATCCATAAAAACGATTGCTTTTTTGTTTGATAATACAGTCAATTATGTCGATTTTCAAGTGTTAAGTCAGCTTGCTCCCCTAGTGTTTACTCTGCTTGGTTGGAAATAGAGCATGCTTCCAAGTATTACTGAATTTTATGTCCTAAAATCAAATTTTTATGCCTATATTCATGAAAAATATTAGCCTATCGTTTCTGTTCCTTGTTATATCTTTTTCCGGGGCCAGCTTCACCGAAGGAGTTGGGAAGTATTTCTCTGTCTTCTGCTTTCTGTATGAGCTTCTCGAGAACTGGTTTTGTTTTTTCCTTAGATGCTTGGTAGAGTCCGCCCTGGAGCCTGCTGAGCCTGGAGTCTTTTCTTTGGGAACGAACTGGTTTACTAGTTGTATGGCTAGTTACACTGTCTACTTCTTTTGGGGTGACTTCTGGTAGTTTCTATTTTTTTTTTTTTTTTAGGATTTTTTTCTACCTCACCTACGTTATTAGTATAGCATTGTTCTTCACAGTCCCTCATCCTCCTTTCTGTGACTGTAGGTAGATAGTAATGATTCCTTTCACAACACGGTTAATCTGTGCCTTGTCTTCTTTATGCCTCCTTCATATGACTGTAAGTTTGGTTTTATCTTTCCAAACAACCAGCTTTTTTTTTTTTTTGATTTATTAATTTTACACGTGTGAGTGTTTTGCCTGCATGTATGCATGTGTACTGCATGCATCCTGGTGCCCGAGGAGGTCAGAAGAGGGCATCAGATCCCTGAAACTGAAATTATAGATAGTTGTGAGCCACCTTGTAGGTGCTGGGAATTGAACCCAGGTCCTCTGGAAGAGCAGTCAGTGCACTTAACCACTGAGCCATCTCTCAAGCTCATGATAGTTTTTGTTTTTGAGACAGAGCCTGGGCTGGCCTCAAATTCACAATTCTCCTGCCTCAGCATCCCAGATGCTAAGATTGCAACCACACACCACTACTCCTAGCTTCAGGGTTCTAAAAAACGTTTCTTTTAATAGATTTTGTTTGTTTCATTTCATTTTTGAGACAGGGTTTCACGTATTCCAAGCTGGCCTTAAACTTGCTGTGTAGTTGAGGACGACCTTGAACTTCTGACCCTCCTTCCTAAATTCTGGGATTACAGGTGTGCACCACCATGCTTTGTTTTTGTGGTGCTGAGGATTGAACTTGGGAGCTTTGTGCGTGCTATATAAGCACTTTACCAACTGAGCTACATCTCCAGCCTTTCTTTTAATTTCTTTAAAATTGTACTTTTATTATGCTCATAATTATTATTTTATTATGTACTTTATTATGCATTTTTTAAATTTTTATTTATTTTTATTTTATGTGCATTGGTGTTTTGCCTGTATGCATGTCTGTGTGAGAATGTTAAGTCTCCTGGAACTAGAGTTATAGACAGCAAAAGCTGCCATATGGGTGCTGGGAATTGAACCCGGGACCTCTGGAAGAGCAATCAGTGCTCTTACCTGTTGAACCATCTCTCCAGCCCATGCACATATATTTTAATCTATTGATTTTACCTTGTGGAAAAAACATGTTATCAATATTGAACATTCAATAGCCCCCCAGGTGTAGTGCAATTTGTGACCAGACATATTATTACATCTATAGCCATAAAACCATTAATACAGCATTATATTTTTGCCTTAAATATTCTTATGTGTTTTCAAGAAATTAGGGGTGTGTGTGTGTGTGTGTGTGTGTGTGTGTGTGTGTGTGTGTGCACGCACTTTCTTTTATAAGTTGACTTGGTCATAGTGTCTTATCATAGTGATAGAAAAGTAACTAAGGGGATGGAGAGATGGCTCAGTGGTTAAGAGCACTAGCTGCTCTTCCA